CATCAGGACACAGCTCGGCATGTGTAAAGCAAGCAGGAGAGGGTCAGTTGACTGTGAAAAATATTTTAGAAGATATATTTGATTCAGTTGTGTGTGTGCGCGCGCGAGTTCGATCAAATATGTTTATGCACACACATCAATGATAAGCGATTCTGTTTTTATGATAGTCAGCATATTGGATGGATGTCTTTATTCTCTTGACCTCAGTGGTTCTACACAATCTAAGTTTTTATCTGTTCAGACTTGGCGGTCCGTGTACCGGTGGGTGTCTTTCCAAAATCTCCCATAGTTTGGCACTACAGGAGCTACCATTTACCCTTGGGTTTTCCATCCATTCAGGGGTCTGTATGAGGCCCTCCCTGTGTGTGTGTTTACATACGGAATGTTCTACTACAAGAGTGGAACCACCAGCGCTTACGCTGAGAGTCTCTGGGGTGAATGAGAGGTGACCTTGAAAATCTATATGACTCCCTGCAACTTCTCAGTTTTGCAGAGAAGTAAGTTTTGAAAAAGGCCTCTAGCCTCAAAACAAACAAATAAATTATCACCATTATCGTTAACAACAACTATTTTGCCACTCCAGGATTCAAATCATGAGGCAAAGAAGAGTATGCCTGCAAGAGTAGAGAATCTTTCATTCTTTGTTGCAATGGAGACTACCATGAAATGAAGCCTTATGTGCTGTGCTGTGCTATTGTGATGCCCACATTATGCTGGGGTTTAGGAGAAGAAACTAGACTATGATTAGTAAATGCACTGGGCAGAAAAGATCTGGATTCGTATTGACTTAGTTATAGGTCATTGGCTGGCAAGTGCACGGGAGAAAATATTTACTTTACACATATACTTTATGATCTTGAGGGAATTAGAGAAAATTCAATAAGAAAATGGCTAGAAACATTTAAAACCCTTATTTAAGAGACTTAAGCAAATTAGAGTCTTATCAGATTAAAAACCACTACAAATGTAAGAACGTTGTCTTCAGTGAAACGCTGTGGGGTCTGAGAAGGAGATTCGCCCGCCAAATCTCAGGGATAAAACGAGCCATTTAAGCACCAGATAATGAGTAGAATGTAAATTAATTTAACCTTCTTTACCAATAGCCTGCTGGTGTAATGTGTATAATTTAGTGATAAGGTTGCAGGACCTAATATAGCTGGATCTATGAGCCTCAGTTAAGGCTGTGAGCAGGTGTGTGCCTGTTTACGTGTGTAGAATGGGATGAGATGGAATGAAAGGTTAAAACTAAGAGCGCTGACCTAAAACTTACGAAGAAATGTCTAAATTCTGAATGTCTAAATATCTAAATGTTTAAAGTGGAATGACAGTGGCATGAAGAGATTGGAAATAATTTTCATTTGGTCCTTTGTATATTCAAGATGGAAGGAATTATTGATGGCACTGGGGGGGGGAGTAAGGGTAAAAAGACAGACAGATGTTATAACTGCATCTGTAGCCAGCCTCAGTTGCTCAGTGCCAGGTTAAGTTCCCCAGTCCTGTGAATAAGAGCTAGGAGGGAGTTTGCTGAAGATCTCTTATACTGGTGTTGCAAATCATTGACTATAACGTCAAACAAATTACATTCAGGGAAGATGACACTAAATCCACAGTGAAACAATCGCAAATGCAGAAAACCAGGGAAGGGAGGAGATCACTTTGTGCCCTTCAGCCGACCTATGGGGGTTGGGGGCTAGTGGGCCACAGAAGGAGTGTGTGTGTGTGTGTGTGTGTGTGTTGCCAGATCTCAAACCCAGAACCCCCTGAGTGCTAGGTAAGAGCTTTAACAAGGAGTGGAATCCTCCTCTCCAGGCCCACAAAGGACTTAGAAAATTATTTTTAATGTGTTTGAATTTACATCTTTGGAACTTAAATTTCCTTTGAAATAATGCTGCACGGTGCTGCTGCCTCCACTGGAGATCTGTTTTGTTTCCTGCAGATGAAAAAGACGTTGCCTTTTCTACTTGGGCAGTCGTCTAGGCCCCACTCACACACACACTCCCCTTACTGCAAACCTCCTGTCTCTGTCTACTTGTGCTTTAATGATTCAAGACAGCCTTGAGCTCCCTAGGAAAAGAAAATGACTGTTAAAAAGCATCCTTGAAATTGGTCATTTGGCAACGTTCTTAATTGTATGGAAATTCATTAAGGCATATTTTCTATATAATTAGCTCAAGGTTGTTGATTCTACCGGCTAAAGCCTGGATTTGAATCTGATTGATAATAAAGTAAACAAGAGAGTCGAATTTAAAGCATAGCTCTCTCTGGCTAGAACGAGCTTAATACAGTGAACAAGGAATTTGAAAGATCTAGGATGTGTCTTAATCAACGTTAAGTAGAATGGATAAGCTTTCGGCATTTCGAAAACGCTGGGTTAGGGTTTCTACTCTATTGTGAGTTTTCTGTCTGGGGACTAATAAGCATTACAGAGGACGTGATTTGAGGCGACTTTTTTATTCATGTATAAATCCAGAGCGAACCACCAAGCAGTTGTTCGACTAAAGTCAAGGTAATTTTCTTTTGACGGGTCCATTTTCTTCTCGATTTCTAATTTATTAGCCTGCCTTTTCAAGACTCTGTCTCCTTTGCAATTAAAGTAAAGCTTCCTCAGATTAGCGCGACGTTCACCTGACAGGCGAAAGGGGCGAGGGCGGCGGAGTTAAGACGAGAAAGGCGATTTGCTGCTGTTTTCTAACTTCACAGCCCTAGGCAGCAGATCCCCTTTCTGTCTGGGCCCCGAGCGTGGGGAAACTCCGCTCTTAGAAATGACCGCGGTGAGGCACAGAAGGAGGGGAACGGGGTGCTTGCTGAACCGTACACCCTTCGGACCTGGACTTTCCTTCTTCTCTTCCCGAACCCTCCGACCCCAAGCCTCCTGACCCTCCACCTTCCAGCCCTAACCCAAAAGGCGGATCGCCTTTGGTTGGGCGGGAGCTGAATTCCCAGGAGCGCGCCCGTGTAGACCGGGTGGGCACCGCTGGGCCTCACACCGCTGATAGGTGCAGACAGAACCAGCCCTCCGGCGCGGGCTCGGGGCCTCGCGATTGGTGTGGAGCCACGTCACTCCGAGCCCCGGGAAGGGTCTGGGAGGAGGCGGAGGGCGGGGAGAGCTGGGGAAGGGCCGCCGCCGAGTGACGTCTCGCCACCAGGAAGCCCGCCTCTGGTTTTAAGATGTTAGGCCAACAGGGAAGCGCCGAGCCGCAGAGCTAGCCTGTCGCTCGCTCGCTCGCTCGCCCGGGGCCGTCCGGAGCCGAGCTGCGGCGGGGCCCGGCTCCAGCTCCGCGGGGCCCCAGGGGGGTGTGTGCGCTCCGCCGAAGGTGCGCCCGGCGAGGCCCGCGCCCGTGGCCGTGGCAGTCGCAGCCGCCGCGCGGGAGGGGGGGGATCCGATATCAGCTACCTGTCCCTGTCACTCTTGACACTTCGCTGTCAAGGGCTGCGGCGCGGGGGGCGGGCAGAGCGCGCCCGGTGCCGTCCTTATTGGAGGGGGATCCGGGGGAGGGAGAGAGGGAGGGAGGCAGGAGAAGGGTCTTTGCCCATTCTTGTTTCGCTTCGGATCCTGGAAGTCGGCTCCCCGCAGAGGCCTGCGGCGGCTCGGTCCCGCCCGCGTCCCCAAGTCTCCGTCGGCCTCGGGACTCTTTTTTTTTTTTTTTTGGCCGGAGCCTGCAGCTTAGAGGAGCCGGGGGGTGGCTCGGGCTCGAGGACCCGGCCGGAGTCAGCGTCCCCTGGCTGTGCGCTCTCGGCTGACACGGGGACACTCGGCGCCTAGGGCGCTCCCCAGAACCGGCGGCCTCCGGGGCTCGGCTGGCAGCGGCGGTAGCCCTGGGACTCGTGGGGCGCCGCGCTCCCCCCGTCCATGAACTGCATGAAAGGGCCGCTGCCCCTGGAGCACCGAGCAGCCGGGACCAAGCTGTCGGCCGCCTCGTCGCCCTTCTGTCACCATCCCCAGGCGTTAGCCATGGCTTCGGTGCTGGCTCCCGGGCAGCCCCGCTCCCTGGACTCGTCCAAACACAGGCTGGAGGTGCACACCATCTCCGACACCTCCAGCCCCGAGGCCGCAGGTAAGGCGCCGCGCTGTCCCCCACCACCGCCACCTCGGACGTCTGAGCGCAGCCCCTTGGCGCCCCCCGGCCCGCTGGACCCCCCTCCCCCGAGGAGGTCGCCCCTCCTGGGGGAGGCGTGGTGGGAGTGGTCGCTCGAGCAGCCCGGGCGCTGAACTTCCTGGAGCCTGGATTCTCGAGACCCCGTCCCTTCCCTTTGGTCCCCCACCGTCTCGGGTCCGGCGGCCCTAGTCACCCCCTCACCAGCCACCGACCCGAGTTTCTTGGGGCACAGACGCCTCGGATGTTCGGAGGCCGCCCCGACTCGGCCCCCAACCCCCGGTTCTCTCGTCGGCTTTTACCTCCGGGGGGGGGGGGGGATTCGATCCTTTTAAGCTGTATTTTCAAAAGCACTTTAGAGAGGCCCCTGGCAGCGAGGTACACCTCCCCGCCCCGGGGAGAAGAGCTCCCTATCCTGGATCCTGACATCCACTCACTTTGGCCTTCCAAACGCGCGTGGAAACCTGAGGTTTTGGGGGGAGGGGGGAGCTGTCTGCCAAACACGCGCGTGTTTGGAAGATGTGTTTCTCGAGGATGTTTCTGTACTTGCGAGCGGAGGCTATAAAAAAAAAAAAAATTGAGTGCGCCGCCTGGGCGAAATAAACGTGTAAATAAAGCGTGCGGCGCCGGGGGAGGGGAGGAAGTGGGGCGCGCACACCCACACTTTGACCGCTCACCCCCCCCCCCCACGCGGCGCTCCCGGAGGGACGCGGGCGCCGCGCGCAGCCGGGTCCCCAGCCAGCCCCGGCCTCTCCCCGGCCTCGGCCGCTCGGTCGGGTTGGGAGGTGGCGTTTGTTTTTTGTTTTGTTTTGTTTTTCGCGGATTTGAATCTGACCGAAACTGTGCGTTTCTTTTTGTTTTTGCCCTTTTTTTTTTTTTTTTTTTTTTTTTTTTTTCTTTTCTCAGAGAAAGATAAGGGCCAGCAGGGAAAGAATGAGGACGTGGGCGCCGAGGACCCGTCCAAGAAGAAGCGGCAGCGGCGGCAGCGGACTCATTTCACGAGCCAGCAGCTGCAGGAGCTGGAGGCCACTTTCCAGAGGAATCGCTACCCGGACATGTCCACTCGAGAGGAAATCGCCGTGTGGACCAACCTCACGGAAGCCCGAGTCCGGGTAGGAGCCTGCACCCGGTCTGGGAAAACCAGGGGCTCGAGAGGGGGAGGCCTCGCCAAGCTTCAGACGCTTCAGGTCGGGGCTGGGGCTGGGGGTGGGGGCAGCGAGAAGTGATGGGTGGGGAGGAGGCAGCGTCGCCCCTGAAGGGCGCGAGAGGGAAGCTGCCGTGCGCGAGGAAGAAGCCTGAGGCTGCCAGGCGGCCAGTGTGCCCGAGGTGGCACGCTCCGGGTCCCCAGGCGGAGCTGGCCGCCTGGCGCAGGCGCGTAGAGCCGCACCAGCCCTCTGCCCGGCCACCCGGCGCCCTCCCAAGCTGAGCTGCGCGGGCATTCCTCAGCAAAGGGCATTGTGTTCCCGGCTTGCCGTCGCCAGACAAGCGCCAATAAAATCCCTCCCCGCCAGGAGCTGTGAACAGGCTCCAACCTGTGCTCCTAGAACAAGAAAACCCTCCAGACACACGCAAGGGTTTGGCCTCACTGGAGAACCTTCGCGCCCAGCCGGGCCCAGCCTTTTTCTCCCCTTAAGTTGCTCATGGGTCTTTTGCCTGGCGAGTTTTTCAGCCATTCAGATCTCTCTCTCTCTCTCTCTTCACACACACACACTCCACTGCCTAGTTTTGGAAGCCCTGGAGGAAACGACTATTCTGCTGGAGCTTTTAGTAAGAAAGGAGAAAAGAAAGACGTTTCAATTTGGTTTATTTATCTTCTCGAGGAAGTTCAGCTCTTTGAAGGCTGTACTCACACCCCTCGCTTAATTATAGCCAAAGATTTATAAAGAGAGCTTACCTTTACTTTGTAGCAAATCTGCCCCTTTATGGACCGGCAAGAAAAAAAAGAAAAGAAAAGAAAATGAGCTTAAATAAATTACCCAGTGGAAGGATCCTGGTTTAACGCCGGTCCGTTGGAATGTCCAAGGTTGTTAAGACTCTGAGAGAGAAGAGCCGAACCCAGCAGACTCCAGAGACCGCTGTTTTAGAAAACAAGGTTCTCTGCGGAAGAAAGAAAGCAAGGGGGAGGAGAGGCCAAAATAAAAACAAGGAAACCGGCAGACAGCAACAAAAATAAAAACCAAAGTGTGTTCCCAAAGCCAAGAGAAGGAGGACGCTGTCGGGGTGGCAGTGCGGCGCAGGCCGGGCAGCGCCGGTTGATAAAGGAGCTGGGAGGACGCACGGAGTGTGGTTTTACTTTAACTGCCCGGGAGCCAGCGCTCGTGCAGGGGGCCGCGTGCTTTTGAGCAAAGTCAGTCTTTCTTTCGCTGTCTTTAGCATCAGGGAACGATGGGCCTCGCACGTACTCTCCTCGCCTGGGCAAAGTTTAGAAGGCCTGCAGTAGAAAGGACAAGTGATTAAAATAAAGACACAATTTGTCTTTCACTGAAATCCCCGGGGAGAGCCCTCCCACCCTACCCGCCTTCCTGCGGCCCTGTCCCTCCGCAGAGGGCACTCGCTCCGGCTGCCTCCTTCCAGGCGCTTACTTTTCCAGCCCAGAGCGGGAGGGTTGCTTTTTATAGCAATCGGGTGCAAAGAGGAAGGGGGGGGGGGTAGGAAAAAAAAGTGGAAATCAAGAATGAAAGGAAAAAGAAAAAAAAAAGCGGATTAGACGGCTGGGCGCGACAGAGAAACATCGCCGGTGTCAGTTCTGGGCTGTTGGACCAGGCCTCGCTCCAATACACAAAAGCCGCTGTCTCGGGCGACCGGCGGGCCCGGGTGTGGATTGGAAGAGGGGTTGTGGCGGGGCCACCGGACGCGGGTGGCGGCGGTGTGGGGGCTGGGGCGGGGGGTCGCAGACCAGCTCGAGTAGTGTAGCAGGCAAAGCCAAGGGACAGCACTGGTCCAGTCCTAAGATGAGGCCAGAGGCTGGTTAGGCTTGGGTGGGAGGAGAGTGATATAGATTTAAAAAAAAAAAAAAAGGGGGGGGGGGGGGGGGGGGGGGGGGGAGGTTGCTAGGGACGAGCTGGTTCAGGATTCCCAGTTTAGGCGCCTAGCTCCTGAGGTTAGCGAGCAGACGAAGAGGTGGTCTTTTGCCTTTTATTTGGTAGGGTGTTTTGTTTTGTTTTGTTTTGTTTTTCCCTAGGGGAGGAAGGGTGTCGCTTTCGGGTCCTAGTGCGTTCTGGGAGGGGTGGGGTGGGGTGGGGTGGGGGCTAGGAGGTGCTGGAGGGAAGGGAGGGGCTGTGTGGGAGGAGAGTGGGTGCTCTCCCAGCCCCTGGTCCTCGCCACTGGACCTGTGGCCTCGGAACGGAGGCAAGTTTGCAAGGTCCGGGACGGGTCCCGTGTATTTTACAGTGCTTTTGGACCCCCGGGGGAGGCCCTGGAGGAGGATCAGGAGGTCCCAGGGCCGCCGGGCGTTCGTTGGAGCTTCTGTGGCTCAGCTCACAGCGCAGGCCCCAAGGTTGGAGCGAGCTAGGCCTCCCGGAACTTGACGAAAGGCCTTGCACAGACCCCAGGGCCGTTTGGCTGTTCTCAGAGGCTCAGTGTAGAGCGCGTGGACCCCGGGGCCGCCAGAGTGTGTGCGGTGATTGCTCGCCCCGGTGCCACCCGGGCGGGCTGTTTCTAAAACGGAGTTCTGCGGCTTTTTCAACTAACTGTTCCCGTGTGCCCTGTCTGATCCCTTCTCCCCCTCCCCCACCCCCGCCCCCACCCAGGTCTGGTTCAAGAACCGCCGGGCCAAGTGGAGAAAGCGAGAACGCAACCAGCAGGCCGAGCTGTGCAAGAACGGCTTCGGCCCGCAGTTCAACGGGCTCATGCAGCCTTACGACGACATGTACCCCGGCTACTCCTACAACAACTGGGCGGCCAAGGGCCTCACCTCGGCGTCCCTGTCCACCAAGAGCTTCCCCTTCTTCAACTCCATGAACGTCAACCCCCTGTCCTCCCAGAGCATGTTCTCCCCGCCCAACTCCATCTCTTCTATGAGCATGACGTCCAGCATGGTGCCCTCCGCGGTGGCCGGCGTCCCGGGCTCCAGCCTCAACAGCCTGAACAACTTGAACAACCTGAGCAGCCCGTCGCTGAATTCCGCGGTGCCCACGCCCGCCTGTCCCTACGCGCCGCCGACCCCCCCGTACGTTTACAGGGACACGTGTAACTCGAGCCTGGCCAGCCTGAGACTGAAAGCAAAGCAGCACTCCAGCTTCGGCTACGCCAGCGTGCAGAACCCGGCCTCCAACCTGAGCGCTTGCCAGTACGCCGTCGACCGGCCGGTGTGAGCGGCGCCCGCCGCGCGCGGGATCCGAGGACTGTCGGCGGTGGGCCGCTCCGCCCCGGAGAGACTGAGAGTTTGTGCTAGAAGGTCGTGCGCACTACCGGGAAGGAAGAAAGGAAGGAAGGAAGGGAAGAGGAGGCCAGAGGAAAAGAAACCACTGAATTCGAAGGGGGCGCGCCTTTGATTTCAAAGGCGCGCCCCTGGGTGTCTGACATCTTTCGCTTAGAAGTGTTTCCAACCGTTGGAGGACGCGTGCACCAACCAATGTTTGGCTGGATATGACATTTTAACATTACTATAAGCTTGTTATTTTTTAAGTTTAGCATTGTTAACATTAAAAATGACTGAAAGGATGTATATATATCGAAATGTCAAATTAATTTTATAAAAGCGGTGGTTAGTACTATCACGACAGTGTTTTTAAAGGCTAGGCTTTAAAATAAAGCATGTTATGCAGAATCGGTTAGGATTTTCCGCTTGCGAGCAGAAGAATGTACATACTAAATGCCACACTGTATGTTTCTAACATATTATTATTATAAAAAAAAACGTGTGAATATAAGTTTTAGAGTAGTTTCTCTGGTGGATGCCTTGTTTCTGAAACTGCTATGTACAACCTGCTCTGTGTATAACATTTCGTACGATATTATTGTTTTACTTTTCAGCAAATATGAAAAAAAATACGTGTTTTATTTCTTGGGAGTAAAATATACTGCATACAAACGGGTCTGGATTCTTTCTCTTTTTCTCTGTCACCTGGCCAGGGTGTCTCAGTCGCTGCCTCCTAAACAAACCAGTTTTCTCTGCCTGCCTAGTCAAATATAAGAAGGCACTATTTAAATTCAGTAGAAATATATTCTAGCCATTCATCAGAAACTAAAAGGGAAAAGGAAGGGCGCTGGGGAGGTGGGGAGGCTGCAAATTGTTATATGCCTGTTTTGGCCTAAATCTGTAAGATGCCATTGTTGTTAGCGAGTAATAACAGAGAAAGAAGAAAGGTGAAAGAAATCTTGCAGTATGCCAACCGGCTTGGAATGATTCCGAAGCTTACTCAGTCAGAGGGGGGAAAACACACACACACACACACACACACACACACACACCTCCATCGAAAAGTTCTGCAGAAAGATGGGAGTGTCTTACACGTGCAGTTTATACACATAAACTTCTTGGAAGGGACACATCATAATAAATTTACAAGGAAACACCTTCAGTTCAAAATATTTAGGCCTCCACGTTTATCTTTGAGGCTTAAGTAGAGAGATCCTTCATTTATATTGTATTACTATTTCCAAGTCCTTTTGGAGACATTAGAAGAAACAGACCATTTCTAATAACTACAGCCGGCTCAGCGTGTCAAGGAGCCCAGGGGTTGAGGGGTTAGAGTGGAGTTTCCTGAGTCTTGTAGAGCAATATGTAGTTGAGGCAAAGGTCACGCTCCCTGTGTTTTGCTTTAAATAATATTGACCCATTAATTCTAAACCTGCTTGTTCCTGAAATTATACAGGATTATAGTTTGCAAACTGCAGGACAATGAAGCAAATCAAGATGAATTACAGCCCGGGCCCTCCCTCCCATCCTCTGACATCCAAACAGGGAATGAGGTCCATGTGAGTGTTTGAAAGAACTTCTTTAAGCCCCGGCTCCTCCTTCCAGCCCAGCGTTTCAGCTCCTTTTTGTGAAATGTGAAATTTGATTTCGTAACCAATAGTAGCAAATAAGGCTTTACTCTCTAAGACTCCGCGGCCTCGGTGCCTGGAGGGTCACGGGAGGGTGTGCTGAGGTCTTTTGTTATTCTTGCCCCCCCCCTCGCAAGCCCCCCACAGTGTGCTAGGACAAACAGCAGCCAGGGAACTGGGAGTGAAAAGCGGCCTCTGGTTCTTCTGGAGCCGAGAAAAACCGGTGTTTTTACGCTCTAAGTTGCCCTTTATCTCACCGAAACTTTACCTAGGAGCTCTCGGAGCTCAGACACCGCGGTCTTTGTTCGACTAGGATCTGCCGCCGCCGCTTAGATCGCAGATAATACGCCCGATTTAAAGATCGAGCGCTCGGCGGCGGCGCACATTAACTTGCCTTTCCTTTCCGAGCTCTGCCCCCCGTCCTGGGGCCGGATCACGCGGCGGTGGGGGTTAGACGGCAGGCCTTTGGACGGGGGTCACCTCCGTCCCCCTTCCCTCGAGAGAGCAGTGGAGAGGAAAGCCGTCACCCAGCGCGGACTTTGCCTCCTGGAACCGGGAGGGGGACGGAGGGAGCCGGTCGGTGTCTCTCCACGCAGCGGCGTGCTAGGGGAGGGCTAAGAGGGGGTGCAAACCGGGTGAAAGATTTGGGGACCCTGCCTAGAAGCGCGGAGGAGAGTGGCCGGCCTGTTCTGCTTCTCCGGCCGGTCTGACCCAGGGCGCCCTGGGAGCGCTTGTTTGGGGAGGCGAAGCCCGGCCTAGTTTGTTGGCTCAACTAGGACCCTCTTAGAGGAAATCAATCTGCAAAAAAACAGAACAACAAATGGAAGTCGAGGTTTCGGAAGAGTTATCACTTCCCCGACTTGAAAGGTTCAGACGGGGGGCGGGGACTTGGGACAGAGGCCTTGTCTCAGCGACCTCAGCCACGCTCTCTGGACTTCCAGTCCCCGGCTCCGTCCAGGATTCACAGCCAACTCATCCTCCAGGCAGCACGTCTCTTTCCCCTTGGAGCAGGACAAGCCCAGTCCCCCAGCGGGTGGAACCCGCCCCCTCACCCCTCCCGCTCCTACCTGGGTCCCCCTCCTCCAGCCATCGCCACCTCCATCACCTCGGTTCCACTCAATCGATTTTTTGCTGCATGTCAACACTTATTACTGGTGAGTGTGAGAGTATTTTTTTTCCTCCTTCTCTAGGTCTCTTAATGATTTCTGAGCTAGTTGTGTATTAAAGTGCTTAAAGGAAACTTTAAGGTAAATCTATAGCATGAAGATCAACCTCCCCCGGCGGTGGCTTCAAACATGGCGAGCGCTAGGCGAGGGAGCCGGGGCTTCAGTGGCCTAGGCGCCCAGCCACGCGCCTCAGGGAGAGCCAGGGCAAACCCGGCTTAAAGCGAAGGAGGCCTTTCTCAGACCCGCAGTGGGGTAGGTAGGGCCAGGTGCTGCTCACCCGCTTGCTACCCACTCGAACTTTCATCCACCTTGATGCCTACGGTATAATTGAGTTTTTATTTTATTTAAAAAAAAAAATCTTCTAAGGGTCCCAACTCACCATTCTTCTGATACGGGATTCAGGTTGGTAGATGCTGGGAGAAGGGTGAATACATCCTATGTTCACCTTCGTCGCCTCCCAGTTCCTAAGTCTCAGATTCGATGCCCTTAGCTTACTTATAAAACTAATTGTAAGGGGAATATGATGGCGAGCCCCAGCCCCACAGGCAACCTGATTAGAAGAGAAGTCCGCTTCTCCCTGACCTGGTTTTTCCCCGCCCCAGACCTCCCTGGGAGATGCTGAAACCAGGAGTCTCTGAGGAGTGTAACAATTCCAACAACACATTAACGGGAGGGGGGAAAAATACTATTTCTAAAGTCCCACTATTCCTCGAAAGCCCTATAAATTAACCCGTGGAGAGCAGCAAACCTTTTAAGGAGAGTCTATAAAACTCCTGCGCGTTCTGGGAAGAGGACAACCTCCCCCACCCGCTGTCACGGCGGCGACCAAAACAAAGGTCTGTTCTGCAATCCACATCCAAATCCACGAGTCTCCGACACCCGTCCGTCGGCTCCCCAAGGCCCAACAGAGATCTGAGCTAGCTGGGCAGTCCCGCCTGGGAGGTTTAACTTTTTTTTTTCTTTCTTTCTTTTAGAGCTGAGTAGAAAGAGAAGGGTGTAACCAGATCAGAGTCTTTATGAATATAGACTCCCCATTGATTGATTTATAAACCCCCAGCGAACTGCAGTTAATGTAAGCAAGCACACTGAAAACGCAAGAGACAGGGTAGATGCAGTGAAGCAAGCAGGTCTGGAAAGAAATGGATTCTCCGGTAGCTGACTTTTTTTCAGGAGGAATTTAAAAAGACAATTTCCTCCCTCCTCCGTCCTCCCAAGCCATTGTATTTTCATTTCATCCGAAAAACAACAATTGTAGAGGGTTTGTAGAGGGTTTTTTTTTTTTTTAAGTGGACTGTTAGAAATAATCGCTGTGAACATAACTGATTTACCTATTCAGATCTTAGTAAATGAAACTGGGGGAGATTTTTCTGTTAATCCCCAAAGTTGTCCCCTCTTCCTTTCTCCTGCCCCCTCTCTCCACCCCCCAAAGGGAGACCTTTGGTTGCTGATTTCTCTTATCTGAGAAGACGGAAAGTAGAATTCATTGTGTTCAGGACACACGCCTTCATTTCTGTTCTGTACTGAATCGTTTATGTTTTACGCGAATGTCGGTTTTGGATTTTGTTTGTGGACTAAGGAAGTCCTGCAAGAAGTAAAATACCCCTTCCATTAAAGTAGTTAATTCTACTTAATTGCTCTTAAAAAAAAAAAAAAGCCAAAAAAAAATCTACTGCTTTTGGGGAGATGCACTGTAGCAGTTGTCCGAAAAGGAGAGATAACTTGAAGTTTAGGATACTTATTTGAAGAACACCTAAGAGAACCATCTAGCTTCCTTTTAATTTAAAACGCGCTTTTAGGAAACATCCTGTGGCTGTATTTACTTTGAGGTGACTGTGTTGCTGGGTTGCCTTTCTGCCCCTTTCTTTGTAAAAGGGAGCTAAATGAAGTTGAGACTAGCTCTCCCCAAGCAGGGTGTGTGTGTGTGGGGAGGGGAGCTTGTGATTTTGATGAATCTCTCCCTATCCAGCCCTCCTAATCCTCTGGTTAAAATGTTTAAGGTCTCGTTCAGTTTTCTCTTCTGGTTCTCCCCCACCCCCGCGCCCCCTTATCATCTTCTTTGCTGTTTTCTTCCTCCCATTCTTCATTCTATCAGTTTAGAAGCCGGTCCACAGTGCTGAGGGCTGCTGCGCCAAGGTGGAGTCTTAGGGTTGTTTTCTTTAGACACTCGGCCGAAGCTTTCTTGTTCCAGAAGTAGAAAAGCCCCCTTTGCTTCTTTCAGCCAGAGTTGGGTCTCAGCCTCAGTCAGCCCCAGTGGTCTCGAACTGGAACCCCTCTGCGAGTCACTTTGAGACGGTCATGCCTAGAACTGCCCGAGACAGAAGGGCAGTATTTCGATTTTAACTCGGAACTCGGTCAGGTGGCAGTCCAGCTCCCCTGCTCTGCCTCTGTCAACAGCCTCGGCAACTGTCTCTAGGTAGGTATCACCGTTAATACTGCACGGAAGGCGGGGGAACCCCACTTTGATAGCATCCTCCCTTGTTCTTCCTAACGGAAAGGCAGGGCTTTCTCGGGCGTCTCTTCAGGCTGATGCCCCCTTTTGCTTGACCGCCTGCCTTCCTGACAAGCTTTGCCTCGCTGTGTGAGGGCGCGGGGGAGGGGGAAGGGAAGTCTTCGGACAGAGGTGGAGACCCTGCAGGCCATCCCCAGGACAGGGCTTTGCCTGCCAGAGCCCAAGGCTACAGATTTCTTTGAAAATAAAGTAATATCAAACAAAAGAAAGATAAATTAAAAAAAAAAAAAAGCCTTCTGTGGGCTCTGGGCCTGAGGCGAATGTTCATTCCCTGGACTTCACCCACCGCAGCGCCTCCGGGTCCCTGCTGAAATCCAGAAATGAAGGGAGTCGATCTTATCTGATGAGGTTGTGTCTTATCTGTTTCAA